CACTTTTCTCAATGTCCCAATCAGGTTGTTATGCAAAAATTAATAAATTATAAATTTCACTAATATAATATATTTAACGAAAATAATTATTATTTAACTAATAAATTAACACAAACTTCTAACTCATCGATCAAGTGTGTCTTTATCTCCTCGATTTTGTTTGATGAACAAGCACCTGAATCTACCATCATACACAAATTTAAATAACAACAAGAATTGTAATCCAGAAAAAAGTACAGTGTTTCCAAAACGAATTCTGAAGAATAGAGAGAGCAAAACTGTATATTTAAAGGAAGTTTGAGAACATTGCGCGACGAAGGGTTTGTCGTGCAAAACCCTGCACTAAATGTAGTATTGATTCCTCTCATTCAATAGCATTGATTCCTCCTAACTCAGAAAACTGACCGTTTGGTGTAAATGTTCATATCTTGCGCGACGAAACCTTCGTCGTGTAATATTTACGGGGGTAAAGTTTCGTCGCGCATTTGTTTGCTACCAAAAAAAGACTTACCCGCGTTTTTCTCCCACACTTTGCGCAACAAAGTCGTTATTTCGTCGTGCAAAGCCCTTTTGCAAGACAAAATGTTTCATCACGCATTGTTCGACGATTTTGCACGACGGTGGGTCATTTTCTTTGCGCAAAACACACTAGCATGACGAATTTTGCTTCGTAGCATAAAGATCTGTCATGCAAATATTTTTTTCTAATGGTGAGTAAAAAATTTAGGATTGTTTTCCTATTTTCAAATAATAAAAAATTACTCTTATCACATTTTTCATATTATATTTGTACTATATTTTTAATTGATATGTGATCCATATATGATGGTAGATCCTACCTCTATTAGAAAAATAGTATCGAAATGTAATAAACGTGGCATTACACTTTTTAGTGGGTAGGTATCATTCATAAAATTGGAAATTTCTCTTTTTACAAAAAGAGAATATTGCTAAACCCGCGTCCACCAAAGTTGACATTTCCTCATTTGGTTTGGAGAACAAAGTGAGGCCCAGCAGATGATCTTTGGTCCAACTTCACATTCACTACATGGAACAAAATCTTAATCAAGAAAGGGTGTGTGACGCCTATTTTTTCCTGACCTCACACGTCACATGGGATAACCTCGACTAACCATTGTTAACTAATACATATTGTAATATTAGTATGATAAAGAGAAAACTAATTTAGAAATTAAATTGAACTTCCACATTTGTACTCATTAAAACTTTCGATTACTTTCCCTTATCAATCTACATGTGTTTGTAAATATGAATACAAGTGATATCACGACTTTAGAGCTCATTTGAAAATACTTTTAAAATGACTGAAAACACTTTTGGTAAAATTTTGATTTTGGATCCAAAATCCATTTAGATTCATATGTGTATGTATATGAATACAACACAAGTGATATAACTTTGGAGCTCATTTGAAAGTGTTTTTTTTAAAATTACTAAAAGCGTTTTTTGTGAAATTGATTTTGGATTCAAAAATCACATTTTTTAAAGAAGCATCAGATGTATGCTTCTTGCGGGAAGCACTTAAAGTGCTTTACTAGGATCCTATCTGTTTCAAAAATATTTTCACCAAAAATGTTTTCAGTTATTTAAAAACATTTCCAAACGAACCCTTAATTTACACTAGAGGAAGGAATAAGGTTTAAACTCGGTACGTAGTGAGTTAAAAATGAAGTTCATAACCAATATAGCAATTCAACACTTGCATTTTGATTCATATATAATTACGTTGCTCACCTTGCAACCGAAAGGAGAGTTTTTATCATATATAATTAAGGTTCTCACTTCCACAGCATCTAAACGTCTCTGAAAGTGCTTATACATAGCCCCTGCCATTGCAAAAGTAGCATTATCCTCATCAGATGAGGAGTTATCACTCTATGGTTGAGCCATTACAGTTTGGTGGTTGAGCGGTTTTTGAGAATAAAGGGATTGGAAGCTTATGTATTATAATGATATTAGAGATAACGATCCAACAAGTTAGTTTGAGAAAAGAAATCTGATCTAACGGTTGGTGGAAGATGAAATCTTATCTTGTCTGATTTCCAAGAATATGCCAATCAGATAGAAAAACCAATGGATAAGATTGAGATAAGATAATCCAATCCAACGATGGTTATGAAATAAAATCTTATCTTATTTGATTTCAGAGAATGTGTCAATCAGATAAATAAACCAACGGATGAGATGGAGATAAAATAATCCAATCCAATAGTTGTCATGAAATGAAATTTTATCTTGTCTGATTTCATAGAAACAAACCAATAAATGAGATTGAGATAAAAAAAAATAAAATAAAAAAAACCTAATCCAATCGTGCATAAGTGATGGAATCTAACTTTGTCAGAATTTGAATATTTTAGGTTGAAAGTTCATTAAAAAAAATTTAAGATAACACACCTAAAAATTGACTTAAGAAAAATTAAGGCAAAAATAAATTTAGTGCCTATTCAAATTACTATGTAAATAAATATATAGTGCCATATAAACCCCGAAAGGTATATAGCCCCTCATTGTGACGAATTCCTTTTTAGAGCTCCAAAGATTCCTTGAAGCTCTAAATTGGACTGTCCACCACTTTTCCAGTCCCATATAAAATCCCTCATTGGGGATGCTCTAAACATATTCATATCGCTTTCCAAAAGATTCTGGTTTTTCCCGAACGAAGTTGTCCTCTGGATAGTAGGTAGAACAATGCCTTTGCATACAGTGACACAAGGAAAGCAGGTTCTGCATTAGAACTTGTGAATTTCCTTTTTAGCATTTGAAGGTATTTGGGTAAATTTATACATGTGTTTTGCCATATTTGAAAGTTTTTATAAAATCTGGCATTTATGAAATTAAGATCAAATTTCTCCACCCGGGTACGTAAGAGCAGCTCAATCCAGGCCCTGCCCCTGGGTCTTCCCTTGTCTGATCAATAAAAGCCAAGAAAAACTCTTACTCTTGGCGGAGTACATAATTTCCAAATTTTCTTAAACATCTTATTAGTACAAGAATGAGGAAGCGGCTCATTTAACAATAAACTTAGTAGAAGGATTTGGAGTCTCGGACCCAAACATAATAATCCTTCTTTCTTTCAAAGGGATATGAATAACAAAAATAATATCAACGACATGAACCAGAACCAGAGACGGAAGTTTAGGAATGTCCCAGCAACGATCTCTAATCACATTATTTACCGTTAACGACCAATCAATCAATACATTGACGCTCTTGATCAGACAAACAAGGAAAAGCTCCATAACATTGTCGACAATCTAGCGGATGCCTCGAAGCAAAATGTCTCATGACTTAAGAATACCTTTCCAAACTATAGAATGATTAACCCTTGGAGAGGCCAAGAAAAATGAATTGTGTCTAAGATACTCAAGGGTTGGTTTGGTACAGTTGTTGTTTGAATAAAAAAATATAAAAAAAAAAAAAAAAAAATTGCTTCTACTGTGCTGTGAGAATAAATAATTGCAAAATAAAACAATAGAGTGTTTGATAAATTTTTTTGTAAAAGTGTTTTTAGCAAAAAAAAACAGTGTTATAATGTTTGGTAAATTTTTATGTAAAACAGTAATGACTATTAAATGATCAAAAAAGGTACAATACTGGATGTGCTATTAGTTTAATTTTCTTAACAAATAAAGGTCAATTACTAAATATATTGTACTTTTTTTTAAATATTTATAGACTTAAACTTAAATATTATTTAGTACGAAAAATTACTTGAAAATATGAAATATTTTAGGCTAAATAGCTAGGATTCATTAGTACAATATTGTTGATGTACTTGAAAGCAGTGTAACTAGATATTCATCAAACTTGCTGCTATTCTATTTCTTAATACTTCTATCTTATGTGATTCTTCAACTTGATAATTTTGGTATTCTTCATCTTCATCATTACTATCGCTCTCTTCACAAAAGTCACTGGAGCCATAAAAATGGTGACCACGTTCAGAATACCTCCGTATGTCGTTATGAAGAGCCATTGTAGCAATGACAATCTTCACTTGCTTATTGAACGAGTAATTAGGCATATCCATTAAAATTGCCCATCTTTTGTTCCATACCCCAAATGTTCGTTCAATGATGCTCCTAAGAAAAGAATTCATGTGGTTGAATACCTCTTTATGACCTCTTGGTTCGGCACCCCTACCAAGGCCAGGATATGATATCTTTCACCTTTATAAGGTCCCAAATTACCTCTCATTTGTGGGTACCCTGTATTTGCCAATAATATTTTTTTGACAATTGAAAATTTTTGTTTTGTAATAATGTAATAATTATACAAAGCGTGCATGTAAAATGTTACAATAAGTATGAAGATTCTGGTAAAACAAGTATGAAGATTACCATTTGGAGGCTTAAAAAAATTTAAATTTGGGTTTCGTAGCACGGATAAAAATACTCTTGTATCATGTGCAGTGCTTTCCCATCCGGCACAAGCAAATGTGAATTACATGTTAAAATTACATGTAGCCATAACATTTTGAGTCGACCTTCCTTTCCTACCAATGTATGGAACTTGATCCAGAGGTGGTATTGAAGCATCAACATGTACTCCATCTATGGCACAAATACAATCCTAAAAATAATAGTATAGAAGAAAACCGTCAACCTACACTTATAGTTTGCAAAAAAGTTAGAAGAAGAGTCAAACTTTACGTTAAAATGAGGCATGTATCTTGTATCTTTCCTTATTTCTTGAGGAATACCATGAACCTCTGAATCCATCGGTGTGATAATATCTATTGCCATCTTACACATAATATCCAATATAACATCAAAATATCTACTAACAGCCTCACCAGAATGTTAAAATCTCTCTTGCGATGATCTATTTTTTATATCATGTCCCAACATATGCAAGAACATTCCTAATATTTCTAGTGCATTCATTCTCCTCGAACCTCTCACTCAGTAATTAGTTTGCAAGTCATTGGATAATCAATAAAAGACATCTTTGTTCATCCTAAACATTCTATAGCATTGCATGTAATTCCCTTGTAGTACTTCTATTAATCAAATATTACATGTTTGGGAAAAATTCATACACGGAGTTTTGTGACATATTTTAAATAAATAATATGTTTTAACAACTCTCGCTACAACACATATAATTAGTCTATCCTTCAAATCCTCCTCATCATCATCATCATCAGAGGTGTTCATATTGAATATACAGCTGCAACCTAATACATAATTCAACATTCCACAAGTCATAATCCAACAATCAATAAGAAGTCATAATCCCACATTCAAGAACAAGTCATAATCTAGCGGTCAACAAGAAATCATAATCCAACATTCAATAAACACAAAATAAAAGCAACATTCAACACATAGTTGTAATTCATAGTTTCAGTTCATTGTTTTTTGTTAAACATAAATTTCAACCAAGTAAGCCAGACTTCGGGATGTTTTATGGTAGCGAACATCTCTCGCTTCTCTGCACTACAAAACAAACAAGTAGCAAACAATCATAACTAGCTAGGTGGTTCACAACCAAGTAATTGTGCAACAACTGCAACCACTTTCGGAATACTACTGCCTATATGAAATTGCCTCATCAATGAGTTTGCAAAAGTAATCAATTTTCCCTAATTCTCACTCAGTAAAGGTGAAACCAGCCACTGCAAGCACCCAGACCTCATTCCCCAATTTATTTTGTCGACCCTCCTTCCACAATTTCTTTTTCCGACACCATTCCTCCAAACCTTATCCCTTTATTGCTGGAATTTACCCACTGAATCAAACCCATAAACATGTCTCGTTCCAAACCTCATCCCTTCACTCTTCCCTCTCCTCTTTCACTCAGACTCTCCCATTCCCAAATTAAAAAACCCAAACAAATAAATAATAAAATTTCAAACAAGTGAAGCTTACCAGAGGAAGGTTGCCGAGTCGAGAGAACGCGACCTGGAGAACGAGAGAGATTGATGAGTCAATATTATATTATATATTTTACCCTACTCTTAGTATAATTTGGTAATTATTTTGGTAGAATTTTGATATTTTGCTTTATATTTTCAAAAAACATTCGACTTCCTCTGGAGAAAAATATGATGAAACTGACGAATTTTGGATTGATTCGAATTGGCAGACGTTCGTGTGTCTCTTGGTTTATTCATATCAAAATTTTGGATTTTTCTACCAAACGGTTATTTTCTAATGATTTAATAAAGGAGCAGTACGAGTTGTTGGAAAGTGACGTTTCTGGGCTTAAACTGTGATTTTGGAGCCCAAGATGAACCCAGATGGGTTCGTGGCCTTCTGGAAAAGTGTTCAGAATAGTCCAAGCTTTAAATCCAGCTATATTGGGTCAGTTTTGAAGCTGATTTGGATCCAAAACGAGGCTATATAAATTTCTAGGCGAATTTATCAAGTCAATTTAAGATTATGTTTCTTATTTTATTTCAATTTATTTAGTTTCCTAGTCTTATTCTAAGACCTTTTACTAGAAGGATTTTATTTAGAATAGTATAAATAAGCCTTTTTGGCCAGCCCTAGGGAGAACACACGCACTAGTTGGAGAATTGCTTTCGACAATTCAAGTTTATTTTCAAGGTGTTTTCTATCCATGGTTTTGATAATATTTTGTTTTATGATTGTTCGTAACTAATTTATGTTTGCTAGGGCGATGCTTGAGCCTTAGCATGAATATGTAGTTTTTATTTAATTGTTTATGATATTATGAATGTATACTTTGAATTATTAATCACTGTGCTTTAAACTATCTTTGTGTCTAAATGATTCGCAACCATTAGGATGTTTAGATAAGTAATTGGATGCAATTCAGTCGAAATGCCACCGAAGGATTGAGTATTGCTTCTTGTGATTGATAGTTGTAAGTTCACCTAGGTCGAATGCCACGTCTTAGGGGTTGCATAGTTTTTTAAAGGATTTTAAAAAAGCGTAATGAGTCATGCATGTTTATATTTGATATGAATGCCACAGACAAATTGCATGTTTAATATACGTTCTAGCTTGAATGCCACAGGTAGAATATGCATTAAGAAAACCTAACCTTCCAAGTTGCATGGGTAATTCATAAGTAATCGGTAAATCTATATAGAATTGTTAAGGGGACGGCGAAACCCTAGATTTTTACAATTTGGCTTTCAAAATGTTTACTTTTGTTTTCTTTACTTTGCTAATTTCTTTAATCATTTTAATTAAATTCGTTTTTATTATTTTTAAATTCAAAATTAACCTTTTTCAATCTTTGTTTTCAAATAATGAATTAAGATTTGGTATTTACATAAATTATATTTTATACCTTTTTAGTTCCGAAACTGAGGATCTCGTGAAATCCACCAGTTTTTTGTCCGCCAGATTTCCAGTTTGTTGTGCCTCGTATTCTTCATCTTTGCTATCACCGTCACTTGCAAGACTCTGGCACAGAGAGCAAGCATGCATGAGAAATCCTGGCATACATTTTTACCTAATCTATGATTTGGGGATGAAATTGTAGGACGATGGAGTGGAGTTTTACCTTGTGGGTTTTGGCTCTGAGTACTGGATTTCTGATTTGGGAGCCAACCTGAGACTATGACGAATTTGCAGCAAGGATGGCTTGAATGTGGGCAGTGATTGATCGCAGCGAGCTATATCTTGTTTTGGCTGAAGACAGAGGGCTTAGATGCAGATCGATGGATATGGATCGAGACTAAGTTTGGGGGTGGATCTATGAATTTTTGGGCTTCTGCATGACTTCTGGGTTGAACCTGCAAACACAGCATACACAAGTATCAAATCAGAGAATTTCGGCATATCAATAAGCCCATGCATCTAGTTCTAAATGGAGTTCATACAACTTTTGGTCATGAAATCCTTAAGAAATAGGAGATATTTACATTGGTGTGCACTTGTACATTGATTCGACGGATTGAAGCTTCAATTTCCAGAGACATGGAGATTTGGGAAGAAATGACAGAAATCCAGCTATGGAGGCACGGCTGGGTATTTGCTTTGGGTTGGACAAATCCAGAACCATTGGAAGAATTTAAATGACTAGAGAGCTAGGCAGAGGTTGTTTTGTTTTTAGAAAAACTAATAAAAAAATGTTTGAAAATTTTGAGTTTTAACGACAGTGACAAAATAAATAGTAAAGTAAATAGTACCAGAATTAATTTTTTTAATCTAAAATTGTAGTTTTTTGTTAAAATAAACATAACCGGAAGCTTTTTGTTAAACTTTTTTTTGTTTTTTTTGTTACAGAGAATGGAGAGACATGAGAGCTGCCGCTCTATATTCTCTGAGAGAAGCGGCCGAGAGTTTCCAAGCTTAAAATGAGAAATGGGAAATGAAAGAGGTGTGTTCTAGGTTTATTATGGTGCGCGTGTTCCCTTGCATGCCGAAGCCCGTTGGGTTGATCTATCTTTTGCTGGTTGATCTATCTTTTGCTTGATCTATCTTGCAAGGTCCCATGATTTCCAAGCACCAGGGCACATTTCGAACCCAGGTGTGTCCATTCCCTTTTCTTTTCTCTTATTTTGTGTTTTATTTGTTTTATTTTATATTTTATTTTATTGTTTTCTATTTCTATTTTCTTTTCTTTTTATCTTAGGTTATTTTCTTTATCTTTGATAGTCGTTTTATGTTTTCTAGGACTTAGTAGTTTTGTTATATGTCTTTTATTTGTTTTCCACACCTTGAGGACAATGTGTGATTTAAGTGTGGGGGCGGGAAATAAGAATTTTTAAAATTTTAATTTTTGAATCCAATAAAAATTTTCATTCTTTTAAGTTAATATCTATAGATTATTTTAAACATTAGAACAAATGGAATTGGTGAAGGTTAATCCCATAATAGAGTCTTTTCTATTTAGCTTTGCTTAGACACTAATTCATGAGTTATACTATGAAAATTTGCACATTCACACCAACGTGGTTTGTGGGGAGTGAGATTGAAACACTTACTTTTAGTCTAAGTTCATTTTTAATTTTTGCTTAACATAAAGTAATGTTTAGTTCTTGTTACCAATAAAGTAATAATTGTTCCACCCAAGGCTTTGCCTAGTAACCGGGCCAGTCCTACCTAATCAGTAGTGATTCTCGCGTCAAACGGTAGAGCTTTGGCATGGGGCATGGTGGTTAGTTGGTTTCTTAGTCTTTTTCAGCTCGAGTTAATAAGTCCTTAGGGGTGTTCCACACCTGGTGCTCTAAAGCCCTTGTGATTAGGGAGTCATTGACCTAAAGCTCGCTACATGGGTTGGATTGAAAGCTTAAGTGAATTAGCATTGCACGACCACTATTGTTACTGAAAAAAAAAAAAAATTATAAAATAGCTATCTTTAAAGTCAATGTGTGTGGAATAGAAAGGACGAGGGGTAAATGTTTTGATCGAGTCTCCTTAGCTATGTTGGTTCACTTTACACCAAAGGAAGGTTGTGAATTCTTTTCTAATTGATTCTAAATGGCTTAAACTCTATGGTGGGATTAGCTAGAACTTTTGAAAAGATTTTCTGATTTTTAACGTTTTCTATGGATTGCAACTTTGAAGGTGAAATTTTTTGTCAAAGATCACTGAGATGAAGGACACCTTCTTTCAGATCTGGTGTGAGACGAGGTTCTAAGAGAGTGGCAAGATTGATAGCGTGAGAAAGGAAGGCAGGATCGGAAAATTGAAAAATTCATTTATTTGTTATTGTTCACCTGTGTTTCTTCGACAAAAGCTAGTTTTCTAAAGCTAGTTTTTCTAGCTACGAATTTTTGACTTTTTTTCACCCAAAACTTTGAAGTAAAAAAAAATTGATTTCGAGTGTTTACCAAACACTTAAAATGCCCTGATTTTTTTTTTTACACCCATTTTTTTAAAAAGTTAAGTATTGAGTCTAACAAGATGAACCCACCAATTGGAATTATCAGTGATGAGTACCCTCCATCCAAGCTTGGTAAGAGCCGTTTTATTAAAATAGGTCTAAGTCCCAAACCACCCTTATCAACAGGTTTACAAACCTCTTTCCAAGCAACAAGGGGAGCACCAGTAGCACCCTAAAAGAAAGATCTACTTGCATGATCGATAGCTTTAGCAGTACTCGAAGAGCACGGAAGGCAAGACAAAAATGTGGTTAGGCATGCTTGAAATAGTTGATTTTAACAAGGTTAACTTACCCGCCCTGGAGAGAGAGCTACTTTTCCAACCAGCAAGCCGTTGTTGAATCTTGAGAATTAACTCTTTTGGATTAATTGTGTCTTTCAAAATGAATCCCAAGTATTTCCAATGACAATTTTCATTATGTAGAAAATTGCTTATCCCAAACATATTAGTAAAGAAATATAGTGAAGACCCATCTTTAGAAAACTTCATTTCAATCCCTAAAGAATATCATGTTTTTAATAATACTGTATGTAAGATGAAAAACTAAGAATAGTGCTTTGACCCATCTCCACGTCAGCTTATTATTCCATGTTAGATTTAATTACTTTTCTATGAATTTAGTGTTTTTTAGTTTGCCTACCCTTTTTATGGATTCAAACACACACAAAAAAGAAAAAAATGAAAAGCATTTTGTAATCATAACTAATGTACGAGGCCTAACGAATCAATAATCCAAAAATTATCGGACCTAATGAACTAAAACATAAAAAAAAACACAACCTGTACCAAATTGATCGGGCCTAATGAACTAAAACATAAAAAATACAAACCGTACCAAATTGACTGGATCGAATCTATCGGACCTAATGAACTAAAACATAAAAAGTACAAAACATACCCAATTGACCATACCGAATCTATCAGACCTAGTGAACTAAAACATAAAAAATACAAATTGTACCACATTGACCGTACCGAATCTATCAGACCTAAACTATATAACGTACCTAATTTATCGGACATAATTTATAAGACCTAATGAACTAAAACTAAAAATACAAACCGTACCAAATTAACCATACTGAAACTATCGGATCTAAACTATATAACGTATCTAATTGACCTTACTGAAACTATCAGACCTAAATTAGTGCATTCTCCACACAAATTATGAGAGCTTTCAGAAGTATGAAAATGGACCTGGTTATACAACATTCAAACTTGAATAAATATAAAAAACAAAAAGTAGGTAGTTAAAGACAATAAAGATGACATATTTTTAGAAAATGAAGATGGAGGTTACGTTTATTGGTGATAATGAATCTACGGTTGCATTTTTCAAACTTTGATGGTGGAGGTTACATTGTAGATAATAAAGATGCATTCTTGTAAATAGTAGTAGAATTTGTGGTTTTATTATAAGTAACATGTCATGGTGCATTAAAATAAAAATCATTTAGATATATATATAGAAAACCTTTCAAGTTATATTCTAAGAAGTTTTTGAACTCATTTAACTTCTTTCTACACCCAACTTATTCTCTACACCCATATTATTTCTAATTAAAGAACTAATATCTCTTTAAACCCAAATTTATTACCTAAACTACCCTCCCAAATCCAATTCAAAATATAAAGTCATCTTTACACCCATTTAAAAAATAAATTCTCAAATTTAATAGTTTTGTTTTCAAAGAGACTCGAAAGTTAAAAAACATTATGGGTCCTTTGTCCTTTCTCCCACCGTGATCTCTTCAACTAACTAGCCCCAATTCCAATCCATGTCCAAATTCTTCAATTGTTTTCATGGCAAGTGTCAATATATCTAACAAACCCTTGAGTTTTAAACAACGATACTCTTTGTATATATACTAGTGACTAGTAAGGTTGCTGTTATTAACATTGGAGAAAAAAATTGTTGTTTAAAACTAACATTCATCTTCACAGGTTACAGTTTTTGTAATTTATACTCGTATTTTTCTAATCAAAACCTTGAGTTTTAAATATACCTGAATCTTCTGAGGGTTAAAGTTTTTGTGAGCATATTCAAGTACAGTAGCTGTTATTTTGGGCCATAAACCAAATTGTTTTGTTTGCAATCTAATTGATGTGGAGATCTCCTATAAACAAAGATTAAAAAACTTATATTCATAGAAAGGGTTTCATATATAGAAAAGAGATCATCTCCGGATCTTTCCCTCCAAAGCCTAAGAATCAAGTGATTCGGGCTTTTAAAATTTGATCAAATGACTAAAAACATAGAAGTTAGTAAAAACTTTTTAAAAGCTATAATAATTTTTTACCGTTGGATCAAATTTTAAATGCCCGGATCATTTGATCCCTGGACTTTGGAGAGAAAGATCTGGAGAGGATCTCTTTCCTCATATATATCCCAGAAATTTGGTGTGTGCAACAGTTTTTTAATACTTTCACTTCGACGGTGTAAAAAGTTAAAACTATGAGCAATCGCAGATTGACGAAAAAAAATTAAAAATCAAATACTCATCTTCAAACTCTATAAAAAAAAAAATTGAAACCAAACAAACAAAAAATTTCCATAAGTCGAGTCATAACTTAGTTGGAGGATTGATCAAAACTTTATTATGGAAACTTTAAAGGGAGCTTGAATGACATTATTTAATGAAAATCATGTAACGAAAAAAAACTTTATTAACAAAAAAACCATGTAATGACATTATTTAATGAAAGGATAGTGTTAGGGAAACTAATTTTTTTAAACTAAATAATGTGGTTATTGATGATTAGATTATTACTTAAATGCTGATTGATGTGCTTATTTTATATTGATGACACATTATTTAGTTTACAAATTTAGTTTAAAATTTTGATCTCCTTAACATAGTTGAAAGACAACATAGTTGAATATAAAAAAAATAACAAAAACTGACGTGTAGTCTCACGCATCACGTCACACACTCTATCTCTTTCTCCCTCATTCCACATGTTTTATTTTTAACTCTCTTTCTTGTTTTCTCCTCTTTCATATATTCTCATAACCTTTCTCTCTCCACTCACCTCTCTCCTCACCTATCCACATCAACTTTCTCTCTCCTATCTCCTTTCACTTCTCCCACTCTCTCATGTCACTCTACCCTCACTCCATAAACAATATATATATATATATATATATATATATATATATATATAATTTTTTTTTATTTGACCATTGTTACATAATTTTTTTAGAACAAATTAAGTAATAATATTATAAGATAAAAAATGAAGAAATTTTTTATTTTTTAGTTTTATAAAAAGTGTTTATTTTAATTGCAAAACAATGCTTTTAACTTTAGTTTGGACAAGTTTTTAAGTTTATATCATGTCATATGGACACTGACTATTTTTAGAACAGAACATTGATTATTTCTAAAATTAAACATTTTAGAACTGAATACTACATATCCTTATTTCTTAAAGTTAACACTAACTATT